GCCACCACCCACCAAATGACGACGAGGAGAAGAGACACACCGCCACCCGCTTCCGGTTCAATCCCACGGCAACGAGATACGGCCACAGCCCGCTGCCGGCACACAACGCACACGGAGCGAGCAATCACCCAAAGAGCCACACGCAGAAGCGATTCCTCATCCAGCCATGACACGGCGCCTCACTCCATGCGGTCACACGGAGCACATCATTTCCTCAATAGATCTTATCCTTCGTCCATCCCGCTAAGATGCTTCTGTTGATGATGAGCCTTAGAGCACAATAGAAGAAAATGGGCAATGCAGTAGTACTGCGACAGCGCCAAACACAATGATTCCCTCATACCGGGGCAATTCTCCAATTATGCCTCGTGCACACACAATCAACATACTATATAGAAATCACCCAATGTTTTTTCACCAGAAAACAAACAACCCCTTTCCCTCCCTAATTTTTTCTGTCACTGTTATGTTCGATAGCGTTGGTCATTTTGGCATTTGTGTGCAGTACTGCCGTCTGGGGCTGGTGCACCCGCACCGTATGCACACAAAAGTATCCAAAAATATATAAATCCCACAATATTTCTTTACCAAAAATCAAAACTACCCCTTTCATTCCCTAATTTATTTTTACCATTTCGGTGGTTATTCCCCACCTCAGAGAGCTTCGCCCATCATAAATTCTCCGGATTATATTGCTGCTATGTACTGGCGCACCTCTTCCCTCCAGAACGCCGCAATTTCATTGTTGTCCGCGCGGCTCGCATTATTGCAATTGACGACATCACATCTCCGCCATTCGTTCATCGGTGTGCTGTCTGCGTGCTGCACATTAATAATATCCCACGACATGTCTCGGGATAATTCCTCCCAGCCATTAAAATATGCCGCCATACGCTCGATGAACTGCCGCACAGTGCTGGCGGTGGTGTGGTGCCCACCCACCGTAGACATCCGCAGCCCAACCAGCGTCCTCGGATTTGACACCGAGAAACAAAAGGCGTCCAACAATGGAAATTTCTCAACCTCCGGTATTTACAGCACCCAGTGGTCCATAGCAACAGGATTGGAAAGACGTTCCGGTGGCGGTAGAACCTCTTTTCTGGTGAAGCTCGTGTCCGAGTGCTCTTTCAGCGCACAGCTGTGTGGCTCACGTCGTCCTGGTGGCCTCAGTTCCTTGATTTTAAGTCTTATCGCACGCAGGAATTCCTCATTCAAAAATGCGGATACGGCATACTTTTCAATAATATATGGTGGGACATAATCCCAGAACCTCAAAACAAAAAAAATAAAATCGGACTGCTTCATTTCATTCTCCAACCTGGACAAAGTTTCACGTTCGAGGTGGGGAGATACCAGCAAATTCAGAGGCGATTCAATGTTGTTTCCTCGTCGTACTCGGACAACCTTCACAAGCTTTTGAGACAAGTCATTGTCATTACACGAATAACAGCAGCCAATACCAAAATTACGCTCTAATTCCGAAGCGGTCGACCCATCCACGGCTTGCTGACACGCTTTAATGCGGTCATCATATGCCTGTTTATCAAAGATGGAGCGGAGAATTGGTCCCACGTTATTCATGCGACCCCTCACCTCCTTCCAGTATTCCGCTTGCTCCTGCAGGGGTCGATTGCGCTTCATCCAAATGCACATTGCCCTCACATCGTTTTCTTCGGGACAATTCGTTACGATTGCACTAGCGTCCATTTTTTTTTGTACACAGCTCATATTCGCTTTTTTCTGGTGGTGTCACCACAATCATGCCCCATCCCTTGCAAGGCAAACCAGCAGACGGTTGACGACATGCCAATGTCGCATCGTAGATACAATACCCTTTAACCCCACGGAAAAAAAAAAATGTTTACAACATCCTCAATCCTGGGGTTATCCCTGTATGTTGATACCGTTTTGGTGGTCTTGTCAAACAGGAATGATTGACTCCCAATAACGTACGCAACCATTGGGAGCTGCTCCGCATCGTAGTGCAGCAGCTGGTAGAGGTACGAGCCGGCAGCCATCGGCTTCCCGATCCCGGGCGTCCCAATCAACAGACGCTGCTTGGGCGTAAAGTAGGTCCCAGGGTGAGGGCTGAACCACTCGGTTAGATCATTCCTGACGATCCGCCACGCTCGCTCCACCTCACAGTTTACAAAAACGTCCATAGGAAGATCCTGTATCGTATTCCACGTGTACGGCCATCCCCTGTCCGAGGTGAGCACCATCAGTCTGGGACGCGCTGCACCGGATTTCTGCACACCGTCATTCCTTTCGAGGGTGTCGCCAACCTTCTTGTAAGTCCATGACTTTTTCGGTTTCCCCTCATGCACCTCCATTCCCATCTCCTTTTTCTTGCTGTCAGGAAGTTCCACAACATGGCTCCACCTCGCATTGTACACAGACTCGTAGTACCCCTCCATTTTCTCCGATGCGCCCGTCGTCGTTGGGTTCCTCACCTCCTCAAGGGCTGCATCCAAAAAACTTCTAGTGATTTCATGAACACTTGCTTTTATCTCTGCAGTAGCTTCTGACCACCCAAGTAGATTGTTGACACCTTTATCGCGAAGCTTACTTCGATCTTCTTCGAAGATTATTTCCTCCCTCACAGCCCTCTCCATCCTCAAATAAGCATCGGATGCCTGTATTTCTTTCAATACTCCTTTAACACGGATATATTTCTTGGGATCCTTGAAAAACTCCTTCAGCAAAACACTCCGATTTTTGTCCACAACGCCCCTGCCATCCAATTCCCTCGTAAGAAAATCATTCAGCTTCTTTTCCTTGACGCGAACTCTTCCTTTAAACAGTACATCTTCGATCGTAGTGGAAATGATAAATTTCATTTCTTGCGTACGTCTGACTCTTTCCTCTGCCTCCCGCCGTTCTACTTTCAGTACCTACGTGATTACTCCGTTTAGTTTTCCCTTTACAAGAGGAGTGATCGTGTCCTTTACTTCATAGTCCCTACGTTGCCCGAGAGAGAACACACCCTCGTGAAGAGGCTTAGTAACGACCTCCAGCGCTTGGTACGCAGTTAAGAATTTCTTCAAGAAGCTGCTGGTCTTGTACGTAATCATCCGGCTCCTGAACAAACACCTCCATCGTCACATTGTAGTCTTTCATCAACGGCCGTCCTGCCGCCAAAATAACTCCAAAGCAAGTCATTGAGCTTCATTTTGGTGCTGCGATTGTATCCGTCTAGCAGCACTTTATCCAGCCGACTTTCAAGAGTCGACTGCGGCCACACTTCACTCCCCACCACATGTCGAGCTGCAGCGTCGGAAACAACACTGGAGCCACGGCGAGGTGCCATCACAACACCCGTGCGGTGAGGCATCCCACTCGCACCGCCCAACTGCAGCCAGCAGGTGCCGCTGGCTCCAAAGGACAGTCGCGCCTGTTTCGTCCCGCAGTCCCAATGGCGTTGGGCGTGGCACTCGCACGGCGGGGCTGTCGGTGCGCCATGCAGCCGCACTGCAACGCCTGTCGGTGAAGCAGCCGAGGCCCACCGCCTCCGCAGCAACGCAACGTGCAACCAACCCCAACACCGCCACATTATCGTCCTTTTATATTTTATTCACGTTGTCTGTGTGTTTGCCCTATCGCTGACACCAAAAATAAGTGCACACCTTCACAGAGGAAAGAATCTTCTGGGCCGCTGGCCGGATCCTGTAATTACCCAAAAAGAAAAAAGGAAAAAAAGCGGTTAATGGAGAGGTAGTGAGTTCTCCGTAATGTTTGCCCCAATGTGTCTATGTATATACATTCTGCTACTCACTGGCGTGGAATTCTGCACATAGTTAGAATTAGAAACACTTATCCCCTGCGAAGTGGCAGGCCTTTGGGGCTCCTCCAGCCACAAGAAAAAAACGCCGCAAGTTGGGGATCACAAAGTGGGTGGTTGTGAAGATAAAAAATAAAAAATAAAAAAAATAATAATTTCGTCTGGCAGCTGCCGGCTCCCTGACTCCCTCAATCGCGGTCTCCCAAAAGACCGTGCGATAGAAGAGAAAAAAGCTGTGAAGAGATATCCTCGTTTGTGCGAGATATGAATTTATTTGGGCAGCCAGCCATCCTCACAGGCATTCTTTTCACAAAATCCCATGAAAATAAAGAAAAATTATGCGGCCTCTGTAGTGCGCAACAGCCTCTAGTGACGATGCGCCTCTGGTGGATAAAATAAAATAAAATGAAAAGAGGGTGTGGTGAGTGTGGCACTGCTGATCACAACGGTTCTCTGAAAAGAAAGGCATTCACTGTCTAGACCTCGTAGGCACACACATATAAAAATCGCTAAAATACTTCCTAATATATTTCACCAGAAAGAAATGCACTTTGTTACTATTTTTTTTTTTTTTTTCAATTTTCTTGCCTATCCCATTTCTAGAAGATTTCTGTATTCACTTTTCTCGGATTTTATTTACAAAATCAGTTGTCAACACAAACTGGTATTGGTGTACCTTTCCGTCCCAGAACGCCACAATTTCTTTTTCCGCGTCGCTCAAATTTTTGGGATTGACGGGACCACATCTCTGCCATTTCGTTATCATTGTGCTGTTTTCGTGCTGCACGTAAATCATCTCCCACGACATGTCTTGGGATAATTCGTCCCATCCTTCAAAATATTCCGCCAGGCACTCAGTGAACTGCTTCACAGTGCTGGCGGTGGTGTGATGCGCACCCGCCGTCGTCATCTGCAGCCCAACCAGCGTCTTCCGCGGCGAATCAACAAAGAAAAAGCCGTCCACCAGCGGAAAGTTTTGGACCGCCGGTATGTACAGCACCCCGTACTCCATCGAAATCCTCGTGACACCGCCCTCCATCGACGGTAATCCAACGGTGCGAGTGGGGTATCCTTGACGGTTTATTTTCAGCACCGAATCCTGTGCTTCACGTTCTGATGGCCTCAGCTCATTTAGTTCCTTTACTAGTGCACTGACAAACTCCCCATGCATGAATACGCGCAAACCCAATTGTTCCAGAGCTTGGGAAGCAAGAGCACCACGCGACCCCAATATTAGCAACAAAATATCCTTCGTAGCCATTTTCTTTGCCAAACAGTCCGCAGTTCGAAACCCGATATCAGCACTTATTGATGCATTGAGAAATACCTCAGCACCTTCAACTGTTCTTGCCCGGACGATCTTCACAAGTTTGTGAGACGGATCCTCGGAATACCATTTTTTCTCTCCTCCCAGGGAAAAGTACTCTTCAACATCATTAGGTTTGATCCCTAACAAAGCACCATCAACGGCACCCAAGCGATTAATATAAATTTTCTCATCAAAGATGTGACGTGGAATCGGCCCCACTATAACCATGCGTTCTTTGACCTTCTTCCAGTATCCCGCTTTTTTCTCTTTAGTCTCATCACGCTTCATCCATGCACACATCGCCTCCACATCCATCTCGTCAGGGCAATTCATTATGATTCGACTGGCTTTTGTTTGCTTCTCCCACTCATCATAGTTGCTTACCTCTGGCGATGACACCACAATCATGCCCCATCCAGTAGAGGGTGCAAAACCTGTTTCGGGCGGTGTTCCTTTCTTTGCCACATCGTAAATAATATACCCTTTCATCCCACTCTTCCACAAATCATACAAAACACTCTCGGATATTGCATTACCCTTGTATTTTGTCACGGTTTTGGTGGTTTTGTCAAACACGTACATCTTGCTTCCAAAACAGTGGGCAACCACTTGGAGTTTCTCGACATCAAAGTGCAGCAGCTGGTAGAGAAGGTACGAACCGGCAGCCATCGACTTCCCGATCCCGGGCGTCCCAATCAACACACGCGGCATAGGCGAAGGATTGAGAGTCAAATCAAAGTTGCTGAACCACTTGGTTAGATCGTCAAGGACGATCTGCCACACTCGCTCCACCTCAGAGTTAACAAAAAAGTCATTACCAGCCCCATGTAGCACATTCAGCGTGTACGGCCATCCCTTGTCCGAGGTGAGCACCATCAACACGGGAGTTTCCTCACCGGATTTTCGCACAGCGTCATCCTTTTCGAAGCTTTCGCCAACTTCCTTGTACGTCCATGAGTGTATCGGCTTCCCCTTCTTCACCTCCATTCCTGTTTTCTTTTGCTCTTCGCCGTCGGGAAGTTCCACCACATGGCTCCACCTCGCATTGTACACAGACTCGTACAATCCCTCCATTTTCTCCGCTGCAATCGTCGTCGTTGGTTTCCTCACCTCCTCAAGGGCTGCATCCAAGGATTGTTTAGTGAATTTATGAACAGTTGTTTTTACGTTTGCAGCAGCTTCTGACCACCCAAGTAGATTGCTGACACCATTTTTGTAAAGCTTGCTTAAATCTTCTTCGAAGATTATTTCGCCCCTTACAGCCCTCTCCATCCTCGCATAAGCATCTGTTGCCTGTATTTCGCTCAATACTCCTTTAACACGGATATACTTCTTGGGATCCTTGAAAAACTCCTTAAGCAAAACACTCCGATTGGTGGCCACAACGCCCCTGCCATCCAATTCCCTCGTAAGAAAGTCGTTCAGCTTTTTTTCATTGACGCGGACTCCTCCTTTAAACAGTACTTCTTCGATCGTAGTGGAAATGGTAAATTTCATTTCTTGTGCTCTTATTAGCCTTTCTTCTGTCTGTACCTTAGTGAGAACTCTGTTTAGTTTTGCCTTTGGAAAAGGAGTGATTGTATCCTTTCCTTCATAGTCCCTCCATTCTTCAAGCGAGACAACACCCTCGTGATGAAGTTTATTGATAGCCTCCAATAGTATTTTCAGCTCTTGGTACTCTGTTAAATTAAAAATAATTCTAAGAAGCCGCTGGTTTTGTACGTAAGCATCCGGCTCCTGAAGAAACACCTGCATCGTCACGTTGTGGTCTTCACCAACGGCCGCCCTGCCGCCAACATAATTCCGAAGAAAATCGTTCAGCTTCATGTCGGTGCTGAGAGTGTCTCCACCCAGCAGAATGTCCTCTACGCTGCTGCTCATGGTCCACTTCGGTTGCTGCGCCTCCACTCCTCTGCGAGTTGCAGCGTCGGAACCATCGCCGGGGATGCCGCTTCGAGGTGCCATCACAACACCCGTGTGGTGAAGCATTCCACTCGCACCGCCCAACTGCGGCCAGCAGGTGCCGCTGGCTCCAAAGTACACTCGCGGCTGTTTCGTCCCGCTGTCCCAGTGGCGTTGGGCGTGGCACTCGCACGGCGGGGCTGTCGGTGCGCCATGCAGCCGCACTGCAACGCCTGTCGGTGAAACAATCAAGGCCCACCGCCTCCGCAGCAAAGCAACGTGCAACCAACCACAACACCGCCACATTATCGTCCTTTTCTATTTTATTTTGTCTAATTCACGTTGTCTGTTTGTTTTCCCTATCACTAACACTAGTAATAAATGTGCACCTTCACAAATAAAAATAAAGGAGGCACGATGCCACCGTCCCGCCGCGGGTCAACACTCTCCTTCACCCACCACCATTGCAGCATAGGAGGCCGCAGTTACATCGCAGAGTCAGCACCACAATGTGCACCACACCATCGTGCTCTCAACGATGGGCGAGACGCAGCAGTGCATCGCACCGCTCCATTTTACCACCACTCAAGTATTGCGTGCCCACACAAAGTAGCAAACAGAATCAGAGTGCACACAAACCCAATCAACACCCTCACTCGCTGAAGCACATTCTTCACATGGAGTGACAACATTTGGGGACACACCAGCAGTAGCTGGCTGCATGGAATTTCCCTGCCAACCCTGCGAAGAGACGCAACAACCCTGTGGAGTCAAAGTGGCAGCCCCTCGGTGTTGCCCGCAGTTCACATGGCGGGAAGAATTCCACGCACGCATAGTTCCGGACACCTCGCTGTTTGAGTGCCCAACAGAACGTAAGAAAAATACGTCCGCGCAGGATGGCGTTTAAATAAGTAAACTCTTCAGCCTGTTTTGTTTGATGGTGTTGGCGGGCAATCACACACAATCCAACCAAAGTGACACGCCGGACAGAATGGCTTCAGTTAATAAATAAATAAAAATAATTGCGTCAATGCAAAAAAGCAACGGAAAGTTGGCGCATGCGATTGGCAGTGACAACTGAGGTGCCGGGGAGCACTTCGGTGTACAACTGGTCGTCCGGCAGAGAGGACAAATAAAACAAAAGGGCAGCAAACCCTCTCGTTCAATGTTTTCTAACAGCAAAAAGAGAAAACAAAAACTAAAAGACAGAAAAAAAAAAAGTGTGTAGACAATTTCCTTCTCATCGTAACCCCCATTTATCTCAAAGCTGGAGGTTGTTGAAGTGCGAGACATTATTCAAAACTGAGGAAAAAATTACATCTGAGACGTTTGCGTGATGAGTATCCGGAAATATTCTTGACGACAGTGAGGGAAAGGCAGACGCCTGAGTTCCCCTCACCTTTGGCCCGACAAAAAAAAAATCCCACAAACATGCATTTGTATGGTTGCAGTAAAGCTTTACCTTCACAAATCAACAACAGTATTAACAAACGGAATAACAAGCAGGAAAAATCCAGACGATTGCAAGGGCAAAGCATCTTCGCATTGGAATTATTGTACATCCTAAAGAAGAGCACTTGACAGGATAAAGAATAAGACCATAAAATCATTCTGCGACCACACAGACAAACACACACTCACACACAATCATATCCCTCTCCCCCTGTTCAGTTTTATCACACCAGACACAAATAGGCCCAAAACACTCCATCACCCAAGAAATGGATGCAGAAACAAATAAAAATATAAAATTGGTAATAAATAAAAAATACTGCCTCCCATTGCAACAGTTTTACTCACAAAAATTATTCGATGCACAACTGCACATCAAGTTTCTGTCCCCATAGCTTCCATCGATGCGGCCAACTGAAGGCCAAAACTTTTCGGTGTGTGAATGGCTCGAAGGGAATGCAGCAGTTTTCCGGGTGTAATGGTCTGTCCCAATCATCTGATGTGACACACTTTGCCGTGTGCGGGGCATTCTTGAGAACGTTGTTCGTTGTGCTCTCTTCACCCTCCTCTATGGATGCAATTTCGGTACGAATGGAAATAATTGCATCGGCCAAACGATCCAACTCCCGCTTTGACTCTGACTCTGTGGGTTCAATCATGAGTGCTCCCGCAACAGGAAATGCCAGGGTAGGTGAGTGAAGGCCATAATCCATAAGTCGTTTCGCCACATCTTCTGCTTCAATTTGTGCTGTTTTTTTAAATGGTCTTAAATCTATGATAAACTCGTGAGCGCAGAAATCGTTTTCCCCTGGAAAGAGAACTGGGCAGTGGCCGTCAAGACGCTTCTTTAAATAGTTGGCATTTAAAATCGCATACTCCGTGCATGTCTTGAGACCCCGTGAACGAAGCATCCACATTAATAAATAAGAAACTGGAAGAATAGACGCCGATCCGTATGCTGCTTGAGAGACTTGACCAAAAGGCTGGGAACCACCAACATTTTGAATAAAAACAGAATCTGACAAGAATGAAGCCAGGTGCTGACGAACAGCAATGGGACCCATGCCTGGCCCACCACCACCATGAGGAATTGAAAACGTTTTGTGAAGATTAAACTGGCACACATCGCCCCCAATACATCCAGGTGCTGTGTAACCCACCATGGCATTCATGTTTGCACCATCAATATAACGTTGCCCTCCATCGTAGTGCACCATCGAAGTAATGGCCAAGATTTACTTGTCAAACAAACCATACGTACTCGGATACGTTTTCATAATGCACGAGAGATTCTTTTGTATGCTTTTGGCAAGAATTTTCTAAATCCTTCATGTCAATCCTTCCATCCGCCAAACACTTTATCTTTACAATCACCGTCCCTGCCAAGAGAGCCAAAGCAAAATTTGTGCCATGAGCACTTTCTGGAATCAAGCAAACATTGCGATGGCTCTCCTTTTTTGAATTATGATACGAGCGGATCACACGAAGAGCAGCATATTCACCCTGAGCACCACTATTTGGCTGAAGCGACACGGCATCTAAAGCGGTAATATCCCTTATTTTCTGCTCCAGATCCAAACACAACGCACTATATCCTCGCGTTTGCTCCGTCGGTGCAAGAGGGTGAAGGTTGGTAAATTCTGACCACGACAAGGAAAACATGGCGGCAGCTGGATTAAGTTTCACGATACAAGAACCCAAGGGCACACAACCATGCATGAGACCATAATCTTTTCCATGAAGACGGTGAATGTACCGCATAAGCTCACTCTCACTTTTGTACTTTTGAAAGATTGAATGCCCAAGAAAGACATGTTTTCGTAACATTTGCAAAGGCATTGCTCTCTTTTGTTCCGCGAGTTTTGAAAGGACACCTATCACAGGAAGTTTTAGCCCTGCTGCCTCCAAGAGAGACACTACATGGCCCTCGGTAGTGGCCTCATCCACCGATATAGAGACGGTGCCATGACTATAATCAACCAAAATATTAATGCCTTTTTCCACGCAGCATGTCACGTAGTCTTCAGGCGTTATACCTTTTAAATTTACGGTGATGGTATCAAAAAATGTACCATTGACCACTGTATGCCCTACAGACTCTAAACCAACAGAAAGTATTTTGGCTTTACTGTGCATTTCGCTCGCAATTTCCTTCAAGCCCTCGGAGCCGTGATAAATGGCATAAAATGCCGCACCATTTGCTAGGAGAGCTTGCGAAGTACAAATATTGGATGTGGCGCGTTCCCTCTTAATACGTTGCTCCCGCGTCTGAAGCGCCATGCGTGTGGCCGGACAGCCCGTCGAGTCTTTACTTTTATACCAATGACGCAACCCGGAATCAATCGCTTAAATTCCTCCTTGACAGCAAAAAATGCGGCGTGAGGCCCCCAAACCCTAGTGGGGCACCAAAACGTTGGGCAGATCCCAAAACAACATCGGCTCCCATTTCTCCCGGAGGTTTGAGAAGAACAGAAGCCATCAAATCCGTCCCACAACAACTGACGACACCGTGTTGCTTTGCCTTCTCAAACAGTGTCGTAAAATCATGAAGCATCCCCACGGCATCTGGAGTTTGTACCAAAATTCCACAAGGTGAGGAATCGCTCCAATCAATAAAATTTGGATCACCAACAACGGCCTTTATTTTAAGGGGCTCAGCTCTTGTTTTCACCATCTCTACGCAAGATGGGAAGACATCCCTCGATAATAAAAAAAAGGTCATGCGCTCCTTTCGACCATGATGAAAGGCAAGGCACATTGCCCCAGCACATGCAGTAGCTTGATCAAGAAGAGATGTATTTGCCAAATCCATAGCTGTCAATTCTATAATCATGGACTGAAATTCAACAGGGACTCTAGACGGCCTTGAGATATTTCAGCCTGGAAAGGAGTGTATGGGGTGTACCATGCAGGATTCTCGATAACGTTACGAAGCATTACAGGTGGTGTGCCCTGGCTCATCGTATCCTTGCCCAATCATGCTCTTTAATACCTTATTCCGTGAACCCAGTGAATGGAGAAGCGAAAGGGCATCCTGCTCGCTCATCGCCGGAGCCTCTTTTAAAGGGCTTCGCAAAATATTCTCCGGGATCACAGCAGTCATGAGGTCCGACAGACTTTCTTTGCCAATTATTCGAAGCATAGAAATTGATTCTGCCGCTGATGGTCCAATATGGCGATTGACGTAAATGTTTGCAGCAGTCCGTCGTACAAACGCCAGTGGCAACGTGGAGAAATGATGGAAGCAACGATACATTATTATGTTAGATATGTGCTCGTCACCCTCTTTCTCTCTCTCTCGCACACGCGTTAGTTTTCTTTTACTTTGGACAAAAAATTGGGCTTCACAGTTAAAAATCCACAAGAACAAATAAAAAATATAATTAAAAAATAAAAATAAATTTAAACAATAATCAAAATAATAATAATAACCCATTAAAATAACAACAACAACAACCAAAAAGGATTGTCAAGGAAAATAAGCACGCATTTATATGAGCAATTCCAATTTTCACCCCCGCACACCACATATAGCCCCCGCGTCCCTTTATCCATGGACCTTCACGTCGGGTATTCACTAAAGTAGGCGTGACGAAGGGCGCCAGCCGCAGTCAAACGCTTTTGGGGATCCAGGCAAAGTAACCTTCGCAACAAATCCAATGCACATTCAGAGGCATCCGGGAAAAATTCACGGAGAGGAAGAGGACGCTTCGGCTCAAAGTGCACCTTTCCCCAATCGGGAAGCAGCACCGCCGATGGCCACGATGTGGGCGTCGGTGTCCCTAATACATCAAATATTCGTGACAACTGCCAAATATCTCCATCGCCCGCAAAAAGAGCACCACTGTACCCTCGTAGAAGTTCCGCAAATACGCACCCTGATGACCACACATCAATTTCGGGTCCGTAGTGTCGCTGGCCCAGAAGTAACTCGGGAGCTCGGTACCACCTCGAAACGACTTCGTGAGTCATGGATGCTTCCGTATCCCATACACGACTGAGTCCAAAGTCGCCGAGGCGTAGTTCCCCCTCCGCAGTCAAAAAACAATTTGAAGGTTTCACATCTCGATGAAGAACACCTTCGCTGTGTATGTACGCTAACGCCAAAAGAAGCATTTTAAACAAAGACTTTGCCTCTAACGCGGGCAGAGGATTGCTGGCAGTTCTCCCTGAGAGGACTGTTGCCAAGTCAGTCTTGCAACGCTCCATCACTAACGCCAAGGAGCAGCCACACGGAACTACCTCATATGTCCGAATAACAAAAGGATGCACCAATCGCATTGCAACAAGTAGTTCCCTCGCTGTGGGATGCGGAATACCCTCATCGAGACGTGGAGTTGTGACGAATTTGATTGCGGCTGGCATTCCAGATTCCTTAACAACTGCAGCACGAACGACGCCAAAGCGGCCCTCACCAATTGGGGATCCAATAATAAAACGATCCATGTCAAGCGACCACCTCTCTCTTCCTTTTTCCTTTTCTTCACCCCTCTCCTCCATTCTACAACATCGTGAAAATATAAATGGAACACAAAAAATTGACTCCGGTGATGCCAAAATCCCACCGCACCCAAAGATCATGCTCAATGCCCCTCCCTAATGAGCACATGAATAGAAACTGAAAGAACTCCAATTTATCTCAAAAGAATCCATTTTTTGTTGTGGTGGTAGTTATTGGTTTCTCCTCGTCAGAATCTAATTATTTCAAAAACTTTCTCGTATTTAAGACTTCTGACTCCCTATTCACAACAGGGGCAGTCGCACTAGAGTACATCTTTGCTCGAGCGAACAAACTCACTCTTTCAGTCCTGGGTTTCTCACGGCACAATTCCACCTCAACAGGAGGAAGAGGAGGAAGTGAAGAAGACTGCTGCTCTTCCGTGGAATATTTCGGTGTGGCTGTGGCCACATCACCCTCATTTTTGGCTTGCAGTTGTGCCGCACGATCCCCAACCAAAAAAAAGGAGACTGATCCATAGTCGTGTTTTCAGGGGCAATAAGATCATCTACACAGACAAGAAAGTCCTCAGCGCCTGTGCTCAATGCACACTCCCGAGAATCATCCGCACAACAACCGCCTGTATGCTCCCTCACCACCAATGATTGATTGAGAGAGTTCTTTTTCCGCAAGAGCTCATCACGTATTTTATTAACGGTTGACGCGCCACCCCTCTTGGCTGCTACTCGTAAAGGAATGGAGTGAGTTGCCCTCCGAACTGTCGCATTGGGGATGCTGCTGTCCGTCTTTAGACACTGATTCGTCCGGTACGTTTTTATCTCCGTAAAAGACTCGCGTGTACGGCCCAAACCTCCCTCTTGCGTGCGCCGCCAAAATGCATCACACCGTTGCCTCTTGCTTCTCAGAGATATGAAGGCGGCGCATCTTCGCCTTCACGATCGCTGATGCTCTGCTCACTTTCCCCCGAGTCATCCGGAGATAAAATCCGTCCACTTGTTGTTGCGTTTTGTGAAAATGCGTTTGTTACACCTGCGGCACCCGCGCTCTCCTCGCCACCAAAAGGAACGCTGCCGCCAGATTCCTTCCTCGCCCTCTTAAACTCCTTCAGAAAAGCGGAAGCGTCCATTTTCTTCAAACGTAAAAGGAAGAAAAAGAAAAAAAGAAACAAGAAATGAACATCTGCTTAGATGAGGTCGTTGACGTCCTTTCCTCAGAAATGTGAGAGGAGGGAAACACAACAAAATGGGAGAAGACAATTTAATCACACATCGCTCTGCATCAACGCGCTCCAAAGAAAAATTATCCAGCACTCATGCACACGCAACAAAAGCCATCAGACAAATAAATCGAGAATAGCCAAACTCGTCGTAAAGTAGCAAAGCTGCTGCCTTAATTTAGTGCCCCTTTTAGCCGCCGGACTCCCCTGCACCGCGTGAAGCGCAATGAAGGAGGCGGGTGGGACGACAGAAAGAAACTGCAGCCGCCACCTTCCCGCGCAGCACCATCAAAATTCGCCCCCACAACTCGCACATTCGTTCCAAAAAGTTTCTAAAAAAAAACAACTAAAAACGCTGCAAATCAATAAATATGAGATGTTTTGAACGCTGCGGATTGCAAGGCCGAGCACTCACGTATTCCACAGGAGGGCGGACTGGCATTTCAATTAGAAGGACAGGAATTCATAAGTTTTTCCCCTCCTTTTGTTTCTCCGTGAGTGCGGGAACGCAGACGAGGGAAAACCCACAGTTTTTTAACGAAAAAAATTCTTTTAAAACCAAAAAAAAGAAAAAAAGACGGCAGCCAAATGAGGGTCATTTTTTTCTTGTCGATTTCGTGAGCGTTTATTTATATTTTTTTTTCTGCAAATTGTGCCGGAGACAAAAGAAAAAAAAACACCAACAAATAACACACGCGGAAATTACAAAAACACAAAAACACGTGAAAGTAAAAATAAAAAGGCAACAAATAACATATCATATCGTCCTTATTTTCACTGCAGAGTTCGCTACGGAAAAAAAAAAAAAACCCTCAATAGGGTCATCATCGTGCGCATGTTGCAGCCCGGAAACAGACAGAGTCGAAAGAACCAAGTGTTTACAATGAGATGCCACATCACTCGCATTAGCCTCATTCTCTATAACAATGGATTCACTTGAGAACCTCAGTTTTTGCAGCAAAATCTCTCTCTCAGCCGTTCTAATCGACCTGAGAGATCCACTGTCCAACCTGAGGTGCACATCCACCAAACGCTTAGCGAGCATCAACACGGTTTCCCCATCACTCACCGTAACTAAAATCACCTGACACCTCGTGGCTGATACATAAATAAGAACATGAATTACGTCAGAGCCCTCTGAATACCGAAGGTTGTCTTGTGGTGCAGCAAGAAAGGGGAGGCTACCGGTGTGTTGGCCATCATCCATAGAGGAGTATATACACCTGCAACAGCAGCAGAAACATCGTCGTCGTCATCATCCAAATCAGTATCGTCAGCATTCTCCTCGTCGGGAAATGTACCTGCGGTATTTCGATCTTCTCCTCTTCGTGGCGTCCAAGAGACAACAGTTGTTGCCTGGGCGGATTCAGTAGTCAAACGATCGGACTCGCAATTACAAGCATTCACACTGTTCAACTCTTTATGGTGGCTCTGAGCACTAGCACAGGACGGATTTGTAGCTTGCGGTGTCTTTGAAAGAAATTCAAAACATTTGCGGCACACCCGTCGTCGTTTATTTACATGAAGCTTTTGTAATTTAACGAAAAAGCTCGAGCATGACGCACAGAAA